TGACGGAGGAATTTCTACCCTTGGTTGCTCTGGTTCTGCATATTTAATTACCGAACCACTTGACTTGTTCGAGAACTGTTCCCATGTGCAGTCTCTACCCACCAGACTGTGAGTTCTTTGTGACAGGGACCAGTTCTTGTGCTTCTGTGGAACCTCAGCTGTGTCAGGCTCCTCTCAACCCCATGCATAATGAACAAGTGGCTGAAGGGATGACAACAGGTGTCCCATCCACCCATGCAGGCTCCACATCCTGGAGAGATAAAGCCAGAAGAACCAACCTCATGGGAAATGAACCATGGGAAAGTCATCTAAATGTGCACTTGAGTCCAGGGAGGTGGGGGTCAGGCATAAGAAACAAAGACGAGAAGAGCAGATGGTAGACTCCAGGGTGGGCTCCTGCTAGAGTCCTAACTGAGCTGATGGAGCTATTGAGCTGGGAGAAGGCACAGTGGCTGGAAAGGAGACCAACTGGCCCCATTAAAAAGAAAGAATGACTCAAGAAACTGGGCCATCCATTATACCCTACGGTTTTTGGAATGAGGCCCCTGGATAGCCTAACTGAACCATAGCAAATGAAATAGGCAAGATGCAGTTCTCACGTCAACTTTCTCCCTCTTCTTCCGTCCAACCTTCCAAAGCATCCGAGAGATCCTGGCACACTGACAGTGCAGCACACGCTCACGTCAGATTGGTGGAACTTCAGTCCCACCTGTGCCACGTGTCACCCACTTGCTTTGGTTTTTCTCCTCTCTGCCGTGGGGGTGATCATAACAGCACTCGTCTTACGGGGCTGTGGTGACAACGAAGCAAGACTTAGAGAATGTACCATAAGTAGTCAGCAATCGCATTGCTCTGGACTGCTGTGTTTTTTACAGTGGGGCACGGGTTCGAGTTCTCCACTTCTCAATGGCATTGTGACCTTCGAGAAGTTGCTTTTACCTGCCCCCTTCTTCTGTTAACACAGAGACAGTAATAGTCTCATATGAGAGAGCTATTAAGAAAAATAACACACTGAACCATGGTAAATCACTCAGAGCATTTACTGGATTATAGTAAGTATCATCTAAATATTTGCAGAACAAATGCATTCTTGTTTTTTTTTTATTAGGAACCAGGAGGCAAATAGTCCCCCCCCCTCCTGATTTGCAGCCCCCGAACCGTAACAGTAATTGACACAGGCAAAGGGAGCGTTGCAGCTCCCTGGAGTCTCCCAGTGAGTGACCTATGAGCCCTAGCCTTTCTCTCTGCAAGCCTTTCTGGCTTCACGGGAACCAGGCAGCCCCCAGCCTTCTGAGAAAGTCCCCAGAGGCTTGACAGTATGTAACTAAGTGGTGGGAGGGAGGAAAGCCAGCAGAAAAGGGCTGACCCAGTGGGCTGGCTACTGCCCTGGGATCTATTTCCCGGTGTCAGCGAAGTTGCTGACTTCAGCCATTCCAGAGTGAAGAACCATCCATGGTCAGAGACAGCACCGAGCCGAGCACGCAGCACAGCCGTAAATCTGCAAGCCGATTATTTAAGAGAACTGACTTTCTGTGTTGCGATATTAAAGCAAATGTGCCTCCTGCCCATAAATCAGCAGAGCTGTTTCCAGCCTCAGACACTCTGTTGGGCTGGCTGGAGACACACATGCCTGGGAGGCAGAGAATGAGAAAGACTAAGAGATGTGCTTACCTCCTTGCCAAACTGTTCTCATGATCCTGCCTGGACTGCACAGTCCTTCCCTGTCCCATGACCTCAGGGGTCCCAGCATCCTCTAAGGAGCTTCGAAAACACCACAGGAACACCTACCTGATGCTGACACAGAGCTCTGTGATGAGATGGAGCAGATAGCCTTAATCCGTTTAGAGTTCATGAAATCAAATAGCAGGATATTAAGTGAATTTCCCAGGACCACACAGTGTGTAGGCAGAGTGGGGAGTAGACCATGTCTCGAAGCTCCCAATCTAGAGTTCTTTCTGTGACATCAAGTCAGCCTTATCAAGAATGTCTTCATGTGAGGGGCTGGGGATATGGCTCAGTGGGTAAAGTTCTTGTCACAATTCAAATCCCCAGAATCCATGCTTAACCAGGCATGGCAGTTCATGTCTAGAAGGAGGCAGAGACAGAAAAATCCCTGCAAGCACATGGGCCGACTAGCCTGGCAGTGACCTATACACATGCACTCTGACACGTATGTACCCACTCTCACACACACAAAGACATACACAGAGAGAATTTCTTCACATGTAGTATCCTAAGAAATGTGGGTAACAGTCTAGAAAAAAAAGATATTTCAGCTCAAAATGCTCAAATGGACATTGCCTGGGGTCAACTCTGCAGATGATGCTTTCCAAAATGTCAACAAAACCCGCCACTGCATCAAACCCATCCTTGGCTTCCCATGACCAGGAACAAAACTCAGGTTCTTAGCATGCATGATACACAAAGGTCTCTGTGTTCTTAGTCTTGCATTTACCTTTGACTCTGTCCTGCAAATACAGAACATGATCTTCACATCATCTTTGTATCGTGGGAGAAGTCATCTGTGACTTACCTCCTAGCCCCCGGATAGATGGAGGCCTCTTTACTATCCTTCCAACCCCGTCTACTTGACCTTCTGCAGCATTTTCCTTACGAGGTCACCGTGATCCATGTGTGTACGTCTCTCTCCTTTAGATTAACTCTGTACAGACAGGAAGACTGTACAGAGTCTGTAGTATGGCTCCATACAACACAGCAGGAATCTAAAAAATGCTCCTGGACTTGAATCCTCACCAGCATCCTACACAGTAAACAGTTTCTCAATGCTTTGTGGAAGAGATAAAAGCGCAAACACAATGATCAGATGCTTTGGGATGGTACCCAACTAAGATTACAACTGGATTCTAACTGCCATGCTACATCCAGCTCTCATACCCTTCTCTCCTTGTCTGATTTTTATCTGGGTCGCTTCATTGGAATGGCCTTTCCAATTCTTGAGAACACCCTGAATTTAATCTTGCCATTAAGTGTCATCCCAGACAGAGGAAGAAGGGACGTGTCCCAAGCATCTCACCCCTCCAGCCAGCATGCCTCCATCATCTCTAAGAGAGGACCCTGTGGCTGTCCCTAGCTGCTGTCCCGTGTACTCACTACCTCAGAGGGTAGCCTGTGACTAATGGGTAAAAACAAAGGCAGAACGTTTTTATTGGCTCACGGTTATTGAGGTTTGCTCTGTGTCCCTCATTTCCCAGAAGCTTTGTCTGTCTGCCACAGGAGGACGAGGGCTCGCAGGCACACTGGAGGCAACAGGATGACAGAAACTGGAACTGCTCTGCTAAGCATTCTGAGCCTAGAACCCTGAGCCCACAGTGCTCTTGCGCTCTCTCCTTCTCCCCTCCCTTCTAAGCACTATTAAAAAAAAAAAAGGCTTGAGAAAGGTACAAATTTTTGTGAAATATTCCAAAAATGTTACTTTATGCACTTAGGGCCCTCAGTGATTTGGTCTCCAAAAGTTGCTGAGAAAATAAGCAGGCTGTAGCCAAATTCATTTATTTGTTTCGTAAACTGGCTGTAATCTGGAAATCGCTGGTGCTATTTTTCTCCCAGTTCAGGTTAATATCTTATCCATGGCCCCTGGAAGGACATTTCTTGCTAAGACAGTTATTGGCTTTTTATTTAGAAAGTTCTGCTTCGTGATTTGTGGATATAACAAACCTAAATAATTTAAAGTAGTCTTCTATTTGCTGAGAACTGCAGTGTTTCTTTTTTTAAAGCAGATTTTAAATCTTTAAAGTTTCGGAGATGAAGATAGATTGGACAGGGATTTATTTGTTGCAGGAATTTCTTTTTCTCCTGCTGCTCCTTTCCCAGCACCCATTCTTTTTTCATGCCTCCATCTAGATTCATGTAACATCAGAGCTGGAGAACACTGTACCCGGCCACCCTTTATAATGCGGGCTTTCAGACTCCCTGCATGGTTGAATCCTCCATGCAAAGTAAATCTTGCTGCTTTAGCAGCAAAACAGAAAGGCACAGCAGCCGTGACTAGGGCTGCATTCTCTTCTCGGTTTTTCATGCCTATGCAGAGTCTCCCAGAGCTCCTGGGCAGCACACGTTGAAGCCAAAGGGTGAGGGTCCATGTACTCAGGGTGCCTCTGCAAGTACAAGGCAGATTCAGCCTAGAACAGCACCTCTTGGTGGGCACTGCATTCCTCCCATTGGCTCCAGCTCCTCTTTGCTCTTGGTTGTTCGCCCTCTTCATCAATCCATCAGCCATCACTCAGATGCCAGTCTCTTTGCAGTGATGCAAGGAGGCAGTCCTGCCCAGGAACGCAGCACGCAATAGCCCTCACATGTGGTGGTGGCCATACTGATGCTTGACCCAGGGCACAGACTCTGGGCAAGGACTTCTAGGATACACCTGTCCCTCAGCAGCCATCCCTGCCTCAGCAAGGCTGGGTGAGCATGTCATTCCTAAGCAAGGCACGTTTTCCTGCAGTCTCTTTCGCGAAGAGCAAGTGGTGATAGAGCCTGAAATGCAAAGTCAGCAAAAGAGCAGCCACTCTGCCTGCCAAGGCCCTCTAAGAGACCCTGCAGAGACCCACCCACTGGCTCTGTCCCTGTCATCCTGGGTAGATGTTCAGCCTTTCCCCTGGGAACTGCTATATTCTATGCTAGCCAATAACTACCACAAGGCTTTTCTCAGTCCTTACAAGCCACATAGAGTCCAAGTGAAAACAAGGTTTTTGGTTCAGTTTTGTGCTCTTCTAACAGCGGAGGCATCTTGTTACAGGAAAGGGTGTTTGTCCCACTTAACACCTGAATGGATTTAGGTCTCAGTTTAGACAACGCAGGCTTAAGAAGTTCATTTTCACCGCATGGGGATATTGGCAGCATTTGCATGCTTTACTGTTTTGTCTATTAAGGATAACAGAAGAGGCAGGACACAAATACTTCCACCAGCCATGAGCCTGGAGTCTAACTTGTCAACTTGGCTGAAGAATTTTAGAGGGAAAAACAAAAACAAAGGAACCACTTACATGATGTTTTCAAGTTCTGCCTTGTGCAGGCCTAAGTGCCTTGACTGGGTGGTTCTCCTGGTAGGAAGTAGAACAGGCTGTCTCCTTATGCAGGTGGGATTAAAGGGAATGAGGCACCTGACAGGGCAGAGAAAAGGCATACAGGGAGACAGTTAAATTAAAACTGGTACCCAGCTCCAGCGTGGGTTCAAGACCTGCCGACTGAGGTAAGAATCCCTCCTCTTGGGAGGACATATTTTTATCCTCCTTTTCATGAAGGCTAAGTTATCTATGCTGTCTCCATTTAAGGTCAGTTTCCTACACCCCCTTGATAGAGCAGGTAGCGCTGTGGAATTACGGGTTTTGTCAGCATTGACAAGAGTAGCCTGCAGCGTCACATGTAGCACAATCACAACTTCAAGCTGGTCAGAGCTCTGATTCATTGGCAACAACTTTCCTTCTCTTCTGTGCACGTGTGCTTGCCCAGATGTGAAAACTACTGGAAATCCCTCTAAGCATCTCAACGCCCAGGTTCTCATAGGGCCAAGTGTCGTTAGACCCCTCCCAAGGCCAAGCCAGAGCCCTGTGTTACCGCAGAGCACCAGCTATCACTCACGATAAAGAACAGCAATAACCAACGTTGTCAGTCTCTGAAAACCATCTCAGAGTTATTACAGATGCGGGGACCACACGGATTAACATCAGATCCAAAGGAGAGGACACTGCAGTGTTTGGGGGAGTGGCATACCAGGCACCATAGGAAGCAGAAAAGACACTGGAGCTAATACCCAATGTTCTCAAGATGGTGAGGGGAATAAAAAGGCTTCCCTGGGGAGAAGTGATGGGTAAGGCAGAGAGCCAAGGGTAAGGGTTGGACCAGCAACAGTGGTTAAGTATGTACTGGAAACTGCAATGAGCCAGGGCTGGCAGCATGGAGCTGCCCAACCCCCATCGACTTCCTGGGTTTCCTCCAGTACTCAGCCCAGTTCCACTCCCACTCACAACACCTCCATGATCGGTTAATCTGCCAATGGTAGAAAGCAGGATTGCTGGCCGGACGGCAGTCGATCAGGTGTGCACCACTCTTTTCTGTTTCCACCACCTTCAACACTTCAGCTAGTCAACCCTCAGCTGCTACAGACCTAAACAAAGACCTTTCAGAAGACTTTGGTTGGGTTTCTTCCACAGCACAATCCTTTCTCCAAGATAAAACCACCAACAACAACAACAGCAACAACAACAAAACACCCTATATGTCAGAGAAATCTGGGTCTATCTCAACGCCAGAATGTTTACCTATCATTTGTGAGGCCCTGGCCTGGATCCCCAGAACCACAAAACAAATTAGCAAACAAACAATGATTAGTGTGGGGCTAGAGAGATGGCCCAATGGGTAAGGCTCTTACTATACAAGTGTGAGGACCAACCAGAGTGCAGCTCCCCACGCACCTTGTAAACACAAGGCAGCAGAGCTAATTTGACTATAATCCTCTCATTCGGGAGAAGAAAAGCAGGGATCCTTAGAGCAAGCTGGGTAGCTAGACTTATGGAATCAGGGCCAAAGCTGGGTGTAAGCTTTAAAGACCCTGACTCAATATATAAAATAGAGAGATCAAGGAAGATGCCTGATATCTACCTCTGGTACACACACACACACACACACACACACACACACACACACACACACACATACACATTTGGAGCTGGTTAAAGCAGTGGAGGTGGTCAAGCAGTCATAAGTTCCAGGAAGACAGAAAGCTGCAGGAGTCAGTTCCTTCACAGAGTATCAAAGGAGCAATGGCCTTGACATTGTGTGGTGGAGCAGCACCCACTCCGACCTTCAAGAGCTATTTAAAAAAAAACACTGGATGAGGGAATTCCTTTCTTCTTCCAGCAGAAATGCACTCCTCCAGCTCTCCTGCTCTTTTGCCTCAACTCAGCCTGGTTGCCTCCTAGAAGGTTTGAGAGTGAAGACCTCAGGATAAAAGGAGGAGACAAAGAGCAGAGGAGAGTGAACAGTGGCCTCCCTGCACATGCTCAGTGGATGTGAACCTTGGTACCTCGACCCAATGTGAAACACTGACAAAGGAGACCACCCTATGCCTTGAGTCTTGAACTTGTATCGGGAGCTCTGAAGGGAAAGAACTGGCTGTTTCACAATTCTCTTCTGAGGAACACACACACACACACACACACACACACACACACACACACAGCACACCACACACACGTCAAGTACATGATTTAAATTTTGACTAAAAACTGCAATGTTTAAAGAAGTGGAAGCAAGTGGGGGGCGCCGAGGGGCTTTAGGGAAAGGCCACAGGAGGTCAGAGCTTGAAGGCAACTTAGGGGGCACCCCAGGGAACGACCATGCTTTGTGTCTCAGCTAAACCTTGGAGAAAATTGAGAAAGTCTGTCATCTTAATTTCTTATTAGCCAACATATGTCCTTCTGTTGGATAACAGTGAGAATGAGAAATAGAAATACCAAAATATTGAGGCCCTCAGGCCTACCTGCCTGCACACAGCCCAGAGGAGGGGAGTTGTCTGAATAATTTCAGAGCAGCTGAAAACAGCAAAGGCCTGAGGTGCTGAGCCCTCCTGAGGCATTTGTTGTATGCATGAATGACTAGAAGAAGAAATGAATGATTGCTAGCTTGGCGATTAATCCGTCAGTGCCTCTGTCTGAAAACTGAAAATGAGTTAAAAGCCCTAAGCATAAGGTTGGATGGCCTCTAGCTCGACACCTCAGTCACTCACACCCTCCTACTTTCTAATGACCATCTTCTGTCTCTGGCAATAGTAACTGTTAAAATGATTCTTCCTACCACCAAAATCTATCTCCCTTGGTGTCCATTCACAAATTGCTGATCTACTTTCTTTGAAGATATACAGAGTGAGCCTCCATCTACTTTTAAATGATCTACTTTCTTTGAAGATATACAGAGTGAGCCTCCATCTTCTTTTAAAGAGTCTGTCAAGGACTTCCTACCTCCATCTCCCCCACCATGGAAATCACATTTGGGTTTAAGATTGTGAAACCTTAAACTCCAATTAAGATTGGAGCCCTGTTTCTAGTGAAAAACTTTTCAGGTTCATGGGCACTCTGCACAGAACCCGTTGGTGGAATCTGCATCTCTTGTCTTATGATGTCAGTCTTTATATAGAGAGTTCAGTTAAAAAAAATCAGACTCGTGGCAAGTAGGGCTTGAGTTCAGTTTGAAGTCTCCTGAAATATGTTGGGTGGTTTGAACTCTGACACTTGTGAATATTAGCTTGCACAGTAAAACCATCATGACTAATTCAAGGCAACTGCCGGAAGTTATTTGGGGGATGCCGGTGTTAGGGGTTACTGAAAGCACTGTTTTGTGAGGAAGGAGCCTTGGATGAGGACTGAATGATTTATTAACCCCCAGAGAAGGTGTTACACACAGGGCAAGCCAGGGTTCCCTGGCAGGGCAGCGGTGGTGAGGGGTTCTGGCTGTAAAGTCATCTTATTTTAATGTTTATAACAAAGGAGCTAAGAAGAATTCAAAGAGTGTCAAAAATGATTTAATAAGGCTATTTTTGTTATATGGGTCTTCCTGGAATAAGATCCTTATCTCTTTTTTTTAATAACAAAATACTGCAGAACTTGAGGACCCAGTTTCTTGCTCTGGCTGCACAGATCCTGTCTCCCCAGTCTCAGGAGATAAGCACAACTAAAAAAAGAAGGATTCACAGTCCCCCAAGCCTTGGGTTAGCCCTGCAATACAACATCATCACCATAATCTTTAGGCCACCACTTGGGGTAATGAACCCACTTGATTTTAATTCTACCCCAACTGTAATCTTTTGTAGCCTCCTGATTTATTTTCTTAGGCTCTCTAATGAAATAAAAAGAGAGCCCTCAGATGTAGTGAAATTTTCTATTTTAAGTTACTTATTGAGCATTTGGATTGAACTTGATGTCCATCACTGCAAAGTCGTACTACAGCAAATGAGCTGCTTCACCCCAGAAATGGGTAGCGCCAGGAAAGGTGAGCATCGTTGATGGAGGCTCTTGCATATCTCATCCAGCAAAAATACAGAAGAGGAAAGCAGGGAGTTATTGAGCAAAGGGTGCAGAGCTGCAGTTCTACAAGACTGGTGATTTCCAGAGGTCTACTGCAGTGGAGGGGGGGGGGCTGTAAAAGACTGTTTACACTGTCAGTTTGCCAGGAGGAGTGGTCTTCAGTTCAGGCTCAGGGCACACAAACAGTCACTACACATAAGAAGTATGTATGTTAATGACTTGTCTATCATGACCACTTCACAGTGTATGTGCACATCAGAACATCAAGTTGCACACCTTAAACACACACAACTTTAATATGGTAGTAATACGTCAATGAAGCTGTTCAAAATAAGAATTGAAAGGGCTGGGGAAATGGCTCCATAGTTAAGAACACTGCTGCTCTTGCAGAGGACCTAGTGCCCTCTTCTGACCTCTGTGAGCACCATGTAGTGCAATACACACACACACACACACACAGCCAAAACATTCACGCACATAAAATAAAATTATTCTAAAAAAAATACAAATTTAAAATGAAAATATCATACTCCCCCCTGACACAATGCTTGTTATCTGAATTAAGTCTTTCAGCACCCCCAAAGACTTAGGCAGCAGGCACTGAAAGACACAGGTTGACAACAGCTGAAGCCTAGCATGACGGAGACCTGCACAGAGCTCAGCAGGGCACCCCTCTCGGCAACTATCACAGTCCCAATCAAAATTAAACACCCCTAAGCCAAGACAGTCCAAAGGCAGTGCATTCATATCATTCATATCAGAAAAATTACAAGTAGAGCTTGCCCCAACTCTGTGTGTCAAAAGGTACACGCTTTCTACCCTCTACTTCCTCACTCAAACCACGGCAGTGCCATTTCTAATTCAGTGTTAGGCTGGGAAGGTTGCAAATTAATTGCAATTATGCCTTTTTTGTGCCAAGTGATAATTTACTGCAATTAATTATCAAAAAATCTACTGCTGTCAATTATGATGCATGCTCTTGAGAGGGGGAGGAGCTATTTGTGAGCATGGGGAGTCTGTGACAAAGTTATGTTTTGCTCTTTTTTTTCCCCCATTTCCAGTTAAGTGATTATAATTTGTTT